CTAGTGTTTAGCTTGACTTTTCTGTCAAGATTAAAATTTTTTGTTACATTTTTCCCCTCTAAGTCAAATAAAGTTTGAGCTTTAAACTTCTGTGGAAAATTCCAGACTTGAAGACATTTAGATAATGAATAGTTTATATTCCAACATATAAAATCAAGTAGATTAACTTACTGAAAACTGGTAAAGAAATGTTTCAGATTGTTTAAAATATATTCCTGAGATGAAGCTGTAGCTTAGTAGTAGAGTTCGTCTGGCATGCACAGAACTGATACTGATCTCTAGTAATGCCCCCCAATTTTCTTGTAAGGAAAAAAACTACCTCAATTTTTTAGATGAATGTGAAATGCTAATTATATCGTTAATCTTCTCAAGTCCTAAAAACCAAAGGTAGTATCTTCAATTTGTCACCACAATAAATTCAATAGCATTTTGTTATACTTTGCTTTGAGAAAAACTTTACCGAAAAGCAATTGTGCTCACATGAAAGGGTTTCAAGGAGAAGAGGTAGCTTTTCCTACAAGAGATGAAAATTTTGTGAAAATTTCCTTTAACAATGTTCACAACAGTGATGAGAATCGGGCTACGGGGAAGTGGAGCTTGTGCTTTACCTTCGTGTAAATCCTATCCAGTTAGAATTGTTGGAGAGGTAGACAGGCACCTTAGACTCAGAGAGACTGAACTATTGAATATATATATATATATATTATAATAAATTACTCCAAAGTGGAGAAAGATGTTTTAAAATATTAAGTCATCTACTGATACAAACATGCAATAAATATTTGTTAGTTTGCTTGCTGCCTTACTTAACAACTCTCGTTATTTCTGTCTTTACTCCTTTATTTTTATTTTAGAGCTTTTCCATATTCTTCACAAAGGGAAATGGGGAGGAATTCCTACCGAGAGCTAGACAATATCTAATCTAAACAACTGTATTAAAATAGTTACAGAATGAGTCATGGGCCCAAAGAACCAAAAAGGTCTTTTCTGACTTTAAGAATATGCTATAATACATCCCCACAGACAAATACCAATCAAAACTTGTATGCAATTAACCTTTAATTTATATACATGAATGGAGAGGAAACTGAAGTATTAATAATTTAAAATGGCTAATTCAAAAATAATTAATGTTTAGCTTTGGAAAGCCTTGTAATTCCTCTGTCACCTTTCTTAATTATGTTTTTCCTGAGCTAACCATAAATTAATTTTCCATTTTGAATGCAAATTAAAGGACTGTGGAAAGAAACTGTCCAGCATTTGACAGTTTTAAGAGAAGCATGTCTAGGTTTAAAATTTGAATTTGGGTAACATATATTAAAATACATGGAAGTTGACTATACTAGTACGTCATTAGTATTTGTGTGACAAGATTACTACTACAACAGTAGTAGTCTCTTTACCAGATTTCCACATTCCAATCATTTCTTTCTCCCTTTCTGTCTTGGTAAATTAGATCAATTATCCCTCACCTACATGTGGAAGTGGGGTTAGTCTCATATAAATTTTATTGCTATTAAGGTGGAGGGTGGGTGTTGTTGGAGTGGGGTGAGGCAACTTCAGCATTGCTTGGAGATGGCATTAGGCCTTGTGTATTCAAGTGCAGATCTTTAGAGATGAAAGAAAAAGACTTTTGTGTTGTGGTAGCAAAAGGTATGGGGTAAGTGGTAGAAGATACTGGTTCTAGTCCTACCCACTGGTATTTATAGTTTCTGAGGTAGCTTGGTCTCTTTGAGACTTGTGATGGTTTATCTTCACCATCAACTTGATTGGCCTGGAGAGATGCCTAGATTAGGATACTTCTGGAGGTGTCTGCATAGATCACTGGGGACTATACCTGGTCTCTGGAATCTCTCTTAGTGCCCTGCTTCCTGATTCCATGTGGTGAGCAGCTTCTCCTGCGCTATGCCCTTCTACCATGATGCTTCTACCTTGGCATCGGACAACCATGGACTGAAACCTCTGAAGCCTTAAGCCAGAATAGCCCTTTCCTCCTTGAAGTTGTCATTCCCAGGCATTTGTCTCAGTGATGAAAAGCTATTGTCCTATGTGAGGAGGGGGTTATCATCCATATTTTTCTTCCCCTCTAAGGTTGTTGCGAAGATCAATTGAATAATATACAGGAGAACACTTTGGAATGTACAAAGTGCTGTACAAATGTGTGATGTCTGTGGACAACTTCTACTCCTGAAGGGATTTAAAGAAATCCTACTGTGATCAGGAGGCAAATTGGGATAAAAGGGCTGGTGAAAGTCATCATTACTAATAAATCTACTCTTTGGACAGGATATCATGTCTGCATCTTGTACTATGAATAATCATTACGAAGACAACATTATGCAATATATTAATTATTGAAACTGTCCTAATCGGTTTTTTTTGTCTTAATCGGTTTTGAAACTGTCTCATTGCTATTTGTTTCTCAATAAAATTAATAAAAAACGCTAATAAATCCACTCAAAGCACATGCTTAACTCTGTGAATTGAAAATCACATTTTTGCTTTGTGTCCTGTGGGAGTACATTATCGAAAGCCTCTGTGTCCAGCAGCTGGAGTTTCTCGTACTCTTGCTCTGTTTCCTTAGCATCTACCACCTACCATCTGGCCCATGTTTCCGGGACACCCAGATGGCCTCTTGAATTTTGATCATCCCCACTTGGCCTTTAGAAGTCACACTTCTACTAAAAGGGCTCCTCCACCAAATTGTGTACACCCTGTCCTCTCCATGACTCACCAGCTCTTGCCAGACAAGGCAGGAGTACACTGTGGTTACAAAGAGACAGGAGAACTTCTTTTCCTTCAGCTCATGGCAACTAAATATAAATGTGTATATCTCAGCTACCATGAGGCCTTATTTAAGTATTTTGGCGGTTGGGATCAAACATATCTTATGCTTTGTGTTTAACCTCAATCCACCGCCTTCTACAATGAAATTATTTAATAATTTAATGAATTGACATAACTTGCTTTATCAGGGCTTTTAAGCTTAAATTATTAATTATTTAATTGAAAGCAAATGTTCTAACAATACAGTTAAATCTGGTGTTATGGTGAAGAAGAGACTTGCCGGCTTTTTTCCTTTTCTCCTTATATTGTTTATCTGCCCCCTCGGGAGCGGACTAGATTGCAAAAATATTAGCAAGAAAGGAGGAAAGAAAAATCTAGTGCATGTCTGGAGTGTAAAAGGATGTGCCTAAGCCAGGTGATGGAATCACAACTGAAAATTTAAACTTCTGTCATTAGGATTAAAGATGAGTGTGAGGCAGTGAGCAAAGAGAGCCATTTCTACTTCATAAAGAAAATTCCTCTTTTTGTTGTATTTTTGTTGATTAATATGCCTCCCCTTATTTGAAAATGTAACATTCATGTTTTCAAAGAAAGGAAAATACATCTATAATTAATACATTTATAAAGCATATGATGTTTGATTTTATTTTAATATGTATATTCTAACCCCTGTCCAAAATGTATGTTATAAAACTGTTTTACACACCTCCTTTTCTTCTGTGCGTGCTAGTTTTGCATCTAAGTTGCCCTAGGAGGATTGTACCTGCTGGATGGGACCTAAGAAGTCCTCGAGGGACCCAAAAATCCTAGTCTATGCTGCTGCAGGAACCAAGCAAAAGTGGTCAGGCAGTGTCTGGACAGATAAGTTCTAAATGTCAGAAGTCCTTGGGTGAGAAAACATAGTGACTACCGGCTAGAAAACAGAGCAAGGACCTAAATGGAAAAGCAGTGAAAGTTAGCTTGTACAAGGGAAGATGGAGCGGGACAGTGTTTGAATTCAAGCCCCTTTCAGTTTGAAGGTCATAAGCAAAACAAACAAGAAACAAAAAATATATCTTAGCTAAATAACTGCCCCAACAAAAGTGAAATATTCGAAAATTAAGAAGCTTGAACGTTGTAATGGAATACTTAAAGTATCTGAAGTGGACATGAATTTGATGATAGGCAAAGATGGCAATTTCTGCCAGACAAGGGGAGCTGGGAGCATGGGACAGTCCCCAGGCTCCCTTGCGGGGAGGGAGTCGAGAGGGTATTCAGAAAAAATCCATTAATAGTTAGGGTTAGAGGACAAGCCTCGATTTTAATTTTTCAGGAGTCAGGTTTTTTCAGATTATTTACGTTTCAGAAGAGAAGATTGGAAGTGAGATGGCCACATAGAACAGCACCTGAACACTGCAGCAGAAATGACTTGTTGGCTCTGATGAAGGCTGCGAGGTCAGCCTGGCGCTCTAAGGAAATCAGGGCGCGCCTGCCCCCCGGAGCGGCTCAGGGCCGGGGAGGGGCCCCGATTCCCGCGCGCGAGGCGGACGCCTGCGGCTCCCGCGGCAGCGCACAGGTGGCCGGGCCACGCCAGCTGCGCGCGCTTG